AAATAAAGCCTAGGAATAAATTTAACCAAGGAGGTGAAAGACCTTTACCATGAAAACAATAAAAGATTGATGAAAAACATTGAAGAGGACCTAGAAATGGAAAGATATTCCATGTTCATGGGTTGGAAGAATTAATATTTTTAAAATGACCACACTATTCCAAATGATCTACAGATTAAGTGCAATCTCTATCAAAATATCAATGATATTCTTTGCAGAAATAAAAACAATCCTAAAATTCATATGGAACCACAAAAGACTCGGACTAGCCAAAGCAAATCTGATAAAAAGAACAAAGCTGGAGGCATCACACTGCCTGACCTCAAAATATAGTACAAAATAATAACCCGAAAAGCACAGTCCTGGCATAAAAACAGATACATAGACTACTGAAACAGAATAGAGAACCCAGAAATAAATACATGTATCTACAGCCAACTGACTTTCAACAAAGACATCAAGAATGTACACTGGCGGGAGGACAGCCTCTTCAATAAGTGGTACTGACAAAACTGGTTATCCATATGCAGAAGAATAAAACTAGACCCCTATATCTCACCATATACAAAAACAAACTCAAAATGGATTACAGACTTAAATGCAAGACCCAAAACTGTAAAACTACCAGAAGAAAACCTAAGGAAAATGCTTAGGTCATTGATCTAGGCAAAGATTTTATGGATGAGACCACAAAAGCACAGGCAACAAAACGAAAATAGACAAATGGGATTATATCAAACAAAAAGCCTCTGCACAGCAAAGGAAACAATCAACAGAGTAAACAGTGAACTTGCACAATGGGAGGGACTATTTACAAACTACTTATTTGACAAGGGATTAATATCTAGAATAAATAAAGAACTCAAATAACTCAATCGCAAATAAAACACAACAACAAATAACCCTATTTTTTTTTAATGGGCAGATGATCTAAGTAGGCGTTTTTCAAAAGATCTACAAATGGCCAACAAGTATAAGAAAAAATGCTTAATGTCATTAACCATCAGGGAACTGCAAATCTAAACTGCAACGGGATTTCATTTCATCCCAATCAGAACAGCTATAATCAAAAAGACAAAAAATAACAAGTACTGGAGAGGATGCAGATTAAAGGGAGTTCTTACACACTGTTGGTGGATATGTAAATTAGTACAGCCACTGTGGAACACAGTATGGAGGTTCCTCAGAAAACTAAAAATTAAGCTACCATATGATCCAGCAATCCCACTACTGGATATACATCCAAAGGAAAGAAAATCAATATGTTAAAGAGATATCTGGCTTTCTGCCTCCACTACTCCCATGGTGCCCGTGAGAAAGCTGTGGTGAAGGGAGGCAAAAAAAAAAGCAGGTTCTGAAGTTCACTCTTGATTGCACCCACCCCATAGAAGATGGAATCATGGATACTGCCAATTTTGAGCAGTTTTTGCAAGAAAGGATCAAAGTGAACTGGAAAGCTGGGAACTTTGGTGGAGGAATGGTGACCATCCAAAGGAGCAAGAGGATGATCACCGTGACATCCGAGGTGCCTTTTTCCAAAAGGTATTTGAAATACCTCACCAAAAAATATTTGAAGAAGAATAATCTTCATGATTGGTTGTGCATAGCTGCTAACCGTAAAGAGAGTTACAAATTATGTTACTTCCAAATTAACCAGGACGAAGAAGAGGAGGAAGACAAGGATTAAATTTCATTTATCTGGAATATTTTGTATGAGCTCTTGAATAAAACTTGGGAACCCAATTGGTGGTTTACCGTTGTATCTCTGCAGTGTGGATTGAACAGAGAATTGGAAATCATAGTCAAAGGGCTTCCCTTGGGCCGCCACTCACTTAATTGTAACATGATTTTTTTATTTTTTATTTTTTTCTGCTTGAAAATTTCAATTCTTGTGGTAATACTAGAGTAGAAGGAGAGGGTGACTTTACGGAACTGACAGACATCAGGCAGGCAGATGAGGGCGTGGAGGTATGGGCTGAAGGGACTGTTTTATTTTAAAAAGTGTGACTGTCAATTGTTTCTGTTGCTTCTCCCAAAGAATGATTCAGGGATACAAGTGGGCTCCTCTCATTCATTAAAAGAAATTGTAGCCAGGTGCGGTGGCTCATAACTGTAATCCCAGCACTGAGTCCTTAACCTGTGGGATCTGGCACTATCTCCACGTAAATAGTGTTAGAATGGAATTGGAGGACATTCAGCTGGTGTCTGCTGTTTGGTTGAGGGGAAAGATCCCCATACATCTGGGAGGCTGAGGTGCGCGGATCATGAGGTCAGGAGTTCGAGACCAGCCTGGCCAACACGGTAAAACCCCGTCTTTACTAAAAATACAAAAATTAGCCAGGCAGGGTGTCAGGCGCCTGTAATCTCAGCTACTCGGGAGGCTGAGGCAGGAGAATTGCTTGAACCTGGGAGACGGAGGTTGCAGTGAGTCTAGATTGCACCACTGAAGACTCCGTCTCAAAAAAAAAGAAAGAAAAGAAAACGTGACATCTTTCTAACATTCTCTGCCTGGGAAAATGACAGTGTCAATAAAATGTGGGTTTCTGGGCCATTCATCTTACTTTGATTTTTTTATTACAAATTTCTCTTGATGCACACAATTACGTCTACTAATCCCCTTCTTCCTAGAGAGAGAAACTGTGCTCCTTCAGCGTTGCTGCAAAGTCCATCACTCTCCATAAAGGGGTTTGGGGAATTGATTGTAGAAGTCCTAGGTTCTAAATTAACTAAATGTGTACAAAAATGAATGTGTAAGTGATCTGTTTCTACAAGTCTTTGCAACAATCTGTCACTTTGGTCTCCAGCAGAGGGCGCTAGAGGAATAGTGCTTCCAGATGTAGCCTCCTGTGTGGGGCCTGAAGAAGGCACTGGGAGGCCCCCCATGCCAAAGAGATGGAAGGTGCCCGGGAAATAGCTGCCTCATGCGACTTAGGTCATGACTGGATTTAATGTCAGAAGTCATTCTACAAACAGTGGTGTGGCGCCGTGTGTGCAGAGGCTAGAGAACTGCCGAAAGGGGCTACCAAGGCTGTGAAAAAATACACAATTGTTGCCATGAGTGACTTTGAAAGACGCTAGTGCCTTGTAGTGCCCTTCTGAAATTCAAACAGTAATGCAGAAGTGTGTGTTTTAGAATTTACGGTGTATGAAATTCATGTTTTTAAAAGAACTTGCCTACAGATGGTTTCCACACCTGAAATTGTGCTCTGCGAGTTGCATAGCTGGAAATTCAATGTTCAATCCTACTTTGGCTCCAATTTAACATTTGGTGCTCTGTGGACTGAGTTGAACATGTTGAGGCTTTGCAATTTCACTTGTGTTAAAGGCTCTAGTATTTTCCATTCCTGTGCAGATTTCTTTGAAGTAGAATTGCCTGCATATTTCTTCTCTGCCTTCACAGAAGGCAATGTCCTTTACCATGATTATTAACTATAAGTTTGTGGCTTGAGTTTACAAGTTTTACTTGTTTATTGCATTGATGTTCCCATGTAGTAAGTAATTTTTAGTTTGGTTGTGAAAAAAACCCTGGGCTGAAGTTAGCATTTAAGTTACAAAACAAAACAAAAACAAAAAAACTAGTCCCAGATTTAAAAAACTGTAGTAAAATTGAAACTCACTGGTTTTTCTCTGAACTCTTGTAATCAAGTTTTGATCACATTTTCTATTAAAGTGGCTAACACATGGCTACAAAAAAAAAAAGAGAGAGAGAGAGAGATCTGCATTCCTGTGTTTATTGCAGCACTATTCATGATGGCCAAGATATGATATCAACCTAAGTGCTCACCAACAAATTAATGGATAAATAAAATGTGGTCTATAACCACAATGAAATACTATTCAGCCTTAAAAAATAAAATTCTGTCGTTTACAGCAACATGAATGAACTTAGAGGATTTTATGTTAACTGAAATAAGCCAGGCACAGAAAAATAAATACCACATGTTCTCACTTATATGTGGAAGAATAAAAAGTTGAGCTCATAGAAGCAAAGAGTAGAGTAGTGGTTATTAAAGGCTGGGAAAGGCAGGGAGGTGGGGAGAATTGGGAGAGGTTAGCTAATGGACAAAAAATTACAGCTGGATAGGAGGAAAAAGTTCTAATGCTCTATAGCATTGTAGGGTGACTATAGTTAACAATAATTTATTATATATTTTTAATAGCTGGAACAGAGGACTTTGAATGTTCCTACCACAAAGAAATTATAAATGTTTGAGGTGATGGATATGATAATTACCCTGATTTGAGCATCACACTTTGTATACATGTATCAAAATATCACACTGTGCCTCATAAATATATGCAATTATGTGTCAATTTAAAATAAAAAAGAAAGAATCTATTCACCATATATATGAGAGCTTTTTCTGACTCTCGATTCTATTTCATTGGATATGTCTGTCCTTATGCCAGTGCCATTCTGTTTTAATTACTGTAGCTTTGTAGTAAGTTTTGAAATCAGAAAGTGTGGGTCTTCCAACTCTATTCTTCCTTATCAAGATCGTTTTGGTTATTCAGGGTCACTTTCAATTCTATGTAAATTTGAGGATCAGCTTCCCCATTTGTGGAAAAAAAAGGCTGTTGGAATTTTAGAAGAGATTGTATTGAATTTGCTGATTATTTTCAGCAGTATTGACATCTTAACAGTGGTACATCTTCCTATCCACAAGCACAGAATGTATTTTCAGTTACTTTGATCTTTTTAATTTTTTTGTATTTTTTATCTCTTATAGTTTTCAGTGTATTAATCTTTCACTTCTTCAGTTAAATTTATTTCTAAGTATTTAATTATTTTAGATGCTATTGTAAATGGAATTTCTCTCTTAATTTCCTTCTAGTGTATAGAAAACAATTTGTTTTTGTGTGTTGATTTTGTATACTGCAACTTTGCTGAATTCATTCATTAGCTCTGAGTTTTCTTGTGGATTCTTTGGGGTTTTGTATACAAAGGATTCTGTCATCTATACATAGAAATAGTTTCACCTATTCCTTTAGATTTGGATGACTTTTTTATTTTATTTTATTTTTTTAGATGGAGTCTCACTCTGTTGCCTTGGCTGGCATGTAATGGCACGATCTCAGCTTGCTGCAACCTCCACCTCCCAGGATCAAGCGATTCTCCCACCTCAGCCTCCAGAGTAGCTGGGATTACGGGCACCTAACATCATGGCGGGCTAATTTTTGCATTTTTTGTAGAGACAGGATTTTGCCTTATTGGCCAGGCTGGTCTTGAACTCCTGATCTCAGGTGATCTGCCTGCCTCGGCCTCTCAAAGTGCTGGGATTACAGGCATGATCATCGCGCCCAGACCGTTTGTTTTTTGTATTATTTGTAGAGACAGGGTGCCACTATGTTGCTGAGACTGGGCTCAAACTCCCAGGCTCAAAGAATCTGCCCACTTTGGCCTCCCAAAGTGCTGGGATTACAGGCGTGAGCACCACACCCAGTCCATTTGCTTTTCTTGTCTTGCTAGAACTTTCAATTCAGTGTCAAATAGCAGTGGGATCTTTTTCTTGTCCCTTGTCTTAAGGGGAACTCATTCAGTTTTTTTTACCATTGAATATACTGTTAGCTGTAAGTTTTCCAGAAGCACACTCTATCATGTTGAGAAATTGTCCCTATGTTACTAATTTGCTGAGAGTTTTTTGTTTTTTTTTTTTTAAGATGGAGTCTCACTCTGTCACCGAGGTTGGAGTGCAGTGACACCATCTCCCCGCCTCAGCCTTCCAAGTAGCTGGGACTACAGGTGCCCAGCACCACGCTCGGCTAATTTTTGTATTATTTAGTAGAAACGGGGCTTCACCATGTTGGCCAGGCTGGTCTTGAACTCCTGACCTCAGTTGATCCACCCATCTAGGCCTCCCAAAGTGCTGGGATTACTGGCGTGAGCCGCTGCACCAAGCCGAGAGTTTTTATTATGAAAGAGCCGAGAGGTTTTATTATGAAAGGGTGTTAAATTTCCTCAAATGCTTTTTCCATGTCAATTGAGATGATAATGTGATTCTTTTCCTTTTGTTCAAATTGAAACGTCCTGCATTCCATGGTAAAATCCCATTTGATTGTGAATAATCCTTATGGTATACTGATGGAGTCAATTTGCTAATTTTTTTTTTTTTTTTTGAGCCAGTCTCACTCTCTCACCCAGGCTGGAGTGCAGTGCTATGATCTCAGCTCACTACAACCTCCGCCTTCTGGGTTCAAGCAATTCTCCTACCTCAGCCTCCCGAGTAGCTGGGATTACAGGCTCATGCCACCACACCAGGCTAATTTTTGTATTTTTAGTAGAGACAGAATTTCACCATGTTGGCCAGGCTGGTCGCGAACCTCTGACCTCAGGTGATCTGCCTGCCTTGGCCTCCCAAAGTGCTGGGATTACAGGCATGAGCCACCGCGCCTGGCCTTGCTAATATTTGTTAAGGATATTCCATCTATATTTATAAGCAATGTTAGTCTGCAATTTTCTTTCCTTGTGATGTCATCTGGCTTTAACAGCAAGGTGATGCTGGTTTCACAGAATGCATAGCAAGTTTTCCTTGCTATCCCCAAAACTTAAATTTTTTGAATTATTTGAGAAATAATTTGTGTTAATTTTCTTTGTTTAGTAGAATTCACCTGTGAAGCCATCTGATTCAGGACTTTTCTTTTGGGGAAGTTTTTTCTTAATTATGTTTACAATTACTTTGTTATAGAACTGTTGAGATTTTCTATTTCTTGTATCAACCTACAGAATTTCTATGTTTCAAGAAATGTCTTCATTTCCTCTAGGTTGTCCATTTTTTCATCTATTTTTCTGTTCTCTTATAATCCATGTTATTTCTGAAAAATCAGTGGTAATGTCTCCATTTTCATTATTATTATTATTATTTTGCAGGTTTAGAGCTTTATTATCAGTCTATGCATAACTAAAGTTCAAAACAAATTTAATTCTGCTTAAGGGGACATTGTAAAGTAACAATACTTGGTATTACATGCCTCATATGACCCATTTCAAACCACAGAGAATTATACCTTTGTGTCACTGTTTCAAGAGACAAATTTGAACAGCTAAAACATCTTAAAAAGGCACCAAGCTTATGAAGTCTCAAACAAAACTTGAGTTTTCTGTACATATTCCTGTCAAATGAAGTAATTTCCTGTACACCACTTATCTTGCAAACTGTTCTTTGTTTTTTTTAATTTTTCTTTTTATTTTTTATTTGACCTACATCGGCTCCGAGACCTAGAGAAGGATCCCGACGGCTTGTGATTTCTCTCCGGAGACAGCGATCTCTCTCTTCTCCTATCTCTAGAAAGGGACCTGCTTCCGCAGCGAGAGAGGCTTCTCCTTGGAGATCTGCGACGAGGTGGAGGACGCCTCCTGCAATAATCATCTCGAGGGCGACGACCCCGAGAGGGAGGTGGGCCACGATTTCTACTTCTTCTTTCACCATTCGACAGTTCCACTGTTACACAGCGGCCACATAGTGTTCTTCCATCTAGCTCTCGGATCGCATCAGCTGCACCTCGGGGATCTTCAAATTCAACAAAAGCAAAGCCGGCAGGGTTTCTAGCAACCCACACACTTCAGAATGGTCCATAGTAGCCAAAAGCCCGTTCCAATTCAGTCTTGTTGCCATTGTTTCCAAGATTGCCCACACAAACCTTACAGTCCAATGGACAGGAATCACAATGCATTTCGAGATCTAGGGTAAAAAATGCGGAGGCTCAAACCCATACACTCCGTTGTGTCTTCCCGCTTTCCTCCCTCCCAACCCCCAGCAACCAATGCTCTGGCTCACCCGGCGTCCACGAAATGGCTGTCCATTTTTATTCTTATTTTTATTTAAGTCATTTGCATCTTTTCTCTTTTGTTTTTTGTCAGTCTAGATGGAAGCTTGTCAATTTTGTTTCTCTTTCCCAATAAATTATTTGCTTTATTGATTTTTTTTCTATTGCTTATTGTCTCTACTTTTTAAAAATCTCTGCTCTAATCTTATTACTGTCTTATTTCTGCTATCTTTGGGTTTCGTTTGCTCTTCGTTTTCTAGTTCCTTAAGATGTAAAGTTGAGCTATTGATTTGAGATCTTTTGTAATATAGACATTTACAGCTGTCGGCTTCCCTCTTAGCCCTGCTTTTTTGTTGCATCTCGTAAGTTTTGATAGGTTGTGTTTTTATTTTCATTTATCTCAAGATACAAATATTCTTTGTGGTTTCTTCTTTGATCCATTAGTTTTGTGAGAGTGCATTGTTTAACTTCCATGTGTTTGTGAATTTTCTGGTGTTTCCTCAGTTATTGATTTCTGACTTCATACCATTGTGTTTAGAGAAGATACTTTGTGTGATACCTGTACTTTTTAATCTATTAAAACTTGTTTATGGCCTAACAGATGATCCATCCTAGAGACCCTCCCATGTGCGCTTCAGAACAATGTGCATTCTGTTGTTATCGGGCAGAGTGTTTTGTGTATGTCTGTTAGGGCTAGTTGGTTTATTTTGTTGTTCAAGTCTTCTAATTTCTTATCTTTTCTCTGGTTGTTTTATCCATCATTGAAAGTGGAGTATTGAATTCTCAAACTATTACTCTAGGATTGCCTATTGCAATTCTGTCATGTTTTTGCTTCATGTATTTTTATTATTAGGTGTGTAAATATTTATACTTGCTATATTTTTTTCTGTTTTAAACCTTTTATTAATGTCCTTCTCTGTCTCTTGTAACCTTTTTGGATTTAAAATCTATTTTATCTGATATTACTATAGCCACCTCAGCTCTCTTTTAGTTACTATTTGCATGAAATATTTTTTACCATCCTTTCACTTTCAACCTATTAGTGTCTTTTAACCTAAAGTGAGTCTCCTGTAGATAATAATTGGATCCTGTTTTTCTGTATCCATTTTTCCCATCTCTGTCTTTCAAATAGAGAACTTAATCCATTCATACTTGAAGTATTTACTGATAAGGAGTAAATATTATTGCCATTTTGTTACTTTTTTTCTATGTGTCATTTCTTTATTGCCCCCTTTTTCCTCCATCATTGCCTGTTTTGTGTTTAACTGATTTTTTTCAGGGAAAAATTTTTATTTTCTTCTCATTTCCATTTGAGTGTATTGTATAGATGTTTTCTTTCTAGTTACCATGAGAATTATATTTAACTTATTAAAGCTACAACATTCTATTTTGAATCTCTACCAACTTAACTTCAGTGGCGTACAGAAACTCTGCTCCGTGCATATTTGTCTTCTGCTTTTTGTTACTGATGTCCCAAATTACATCTTTATATACTATGTGCCCAATAAATAGGTTAATTCTTGTTTTTTGCATGTGTCTTTTTGTTTGTTTGTTTTTTGTTTTGAGATGGAGTCTTGCTCTGTCGCCCAGGCTGTAGTGCAGTGGCGTGATCCTGGCTCACTGCAAGCTCCGCTTCCTGGGTTCACGCCATTCTCCTGCCTCAGCCTCCCGAGTAGCTGGGACTACAGGCGCCCGCCACCACGCCTGGCCAATTTTTTCTATTTTTATTAGAGATGAGGTTTCACCGTGTTAGCCAGGATGCTCTTGATCTCCTGACCTCGTGATCCGCCGGCCTCGGCATCCCAAAGTGCTGGGATTACAGGTGTGAGCCACTGCACCCGGCCGCATTTGTCTTTTTAAAATGCAGAAAATTATTAATAAAAATGGAATTAAAAATGAAAATTACAATAATGCTACTTTATAATTGCCCATGTATTTATCTTTCCCAGAGATCTTTATTTTTTCATATGGCTTCAAGTTAATTCAAATATAGATGTATTTATTTAAGGCATGTTTCCTACCACCAGCATCGGGCACATGTTCAGATTGGCAGTCAGATCCGTAAGTCTCAATGGCTTCAATTTAGCACTGCATTTACTTAACTGTACAGAGAATGCAGAACAGAAAATACAGCATATCCAACATCTTACAGCTCACTGGGAGGCCCAGCAGTACCCATGCACATAGTTTCTCAGCCCTTCACTCACCCACACGCAGAGCATGCACAGTCGCTAGAGATGAGATGAAGGGCCCGGTGTGGTGGCTCACGTCTTTAAACCCAGTTCTTTGGGAGGCCAAGGCAGGCAGATCACGAGGCCAGGAGTTCGAGACCAGCCTGGCCAACATAACGAAACCTCATCTCTACTAAAAACCAAAAATTAGCTGGGTGCAGTGGCACACGTCTGTAGTCCCAGCTACTCAGGAGACTGAAACAGGAGAATCACTTGAACCCGGGAGGCGGAGGTTGCAGTGGACTGAGTCCACGCCATTGCACTTCAGCCTGGGCGACGACAGAGCAAGACTCCATCTCAAAAAAAAAAAAAGAGAGATGAAGGTGTATGTGGTTCATGTTGACAGAGGGAAGTCCCTGCCTTGGTTTTCCATGCGTCTTTTATATTCTCCTTGTGATGAAGCCTCCAGGCTTGTGCACATTCCCAGGGTAGGAACAGTCCCACAGACCAAGGGCTTCACAGTAAACAAAGCAGGTAACTAGTTCGCAACATACATTATTCCACACTGAACTTGATACGTTTTCAAGGAAACAGTGTTGTGAGAAGATGGCCTAGGTCTGTCCAGGATCGAGGCCTGCAATTAATTAATACTTTACTCACAGCATTCAAAAGGGAATAAAGAATAATATATACACTTATGGCCAGGCATGCTGGTTCACACCTGTAATCCCAACACGTTGGGAGGCTGAGGCGGGTAAATCTCTTGAGCCCAGGAGTTTGAGACCAGCCTGGGCAACATGGCGAAACCCTGACTCTACACAAATAAATACATAAATAAAATTAGCTGGGCATAGTGGTGTGAGCCTGTAGTCCCAGCTACTCGGGAAGCCAAGGTGGGAGGATCACCTGAGCCCCGGGAGGTGGAGGCTGTGGTGAGCCATGATGGTGTCACTGCACTCCAGCCCGGGTGACAGAGTGAGCCCCTGCCCTTCCCCAGCAAAACAAAAGAAAGAAGAAGAATACTTAAGTATCAAATCCTCCAGCTTAAGAAATGAAACAGGCTGGATGCGGTGGCTCATGCCTGTAAACCCAACACTTTGGGAGGCCGAAGCTGGGGGATCACCTGAGGCCGGAGTTTGAGACCAGCCTAGTGGTCGTGTGAGGTGGCTCAAGCTGTAATCAAAGTGCTGTAATCCAAGCACTTTGGGAGGCTGAAGGAGGCGGATCACAAGGTCAGGAGTTCGAGATCAGCCTGGCCAATATGGTGAAACCTCCTCTACTAAAAATACAAAAATTAGCCTGGTGTGGTGGCGGGTGCCTGTAGTCCCAGCTACTTCCAAGGCTGAGGCAGGAGAATCGCTTGAACCCGGGTGGCAGAGGTTTCGGTGAGCCAAGATCGCACCACTGCACTCCAGCCTGGGTGACATATCAAGACTCTAAAACTAACACGGTGAAACTCCATCTCTACTAACAATACAAAAATTAGCTGGGCGCAGTGGCATGCCCTGTAATCCCAGCTACTTGGAAGGCTGAGGCTGGAGAATCTCTTGAACCTGGGAGGGAGAGGTCGAGGTGAACGAAGATCCCGCCACTGCACTCCAGCCAGGGCAATAGAGCAAGACACTGTCTCAAAAAAATAAAAAATAAAAATAAATACATAAAAATAAAATAAAATAAAATAACACAAATGAAACAACAGCAATACCTCTGTGCATCCTTCCCCTCTTCACGCCTCCAGGTAATCACTGCCTTCAATTTGAAATTTATCTTCTGCTGCATTATTTTAGTGTAAACAAGTTTACATCACTGACGACATACTTTAATGTAAGCAAAATCTATGTGACGATAAACAGATGACAATTTAGTGACCTCTACATGTGTAACAGATAAAAAAAAAAAACCCAAAAAACAAAAAAAAAACTGCAACAACAGGCAGTCCTCTCTTCTACACTTTCCACATCCATCTGCCAGCCAGAGAATCTTCAGATATTCATATATACTCTGACAGTTTAAAAATAAATAAATAGTTATCAATACCAGTACTATGCTTTCAGCTTTTTCATCACATGTCATACAGGGTAACTGTCACCTAGAAAATTGAACTATTTTCTAGTTCAATTACCACGCAGGGCATGGTGGTGGGCAGCTGTAATCCCAGCTACTTGGGAGACTGAGGCAGGACAATCACTTGAATCTGGGAGGCGGAGGTTGCAGTGAGCCGAAATCACTCCGGCCTGGGCAAGAGAGTGAGGCTCCATCTCCAAAAAAAAAAAAAGAAATATACGAGTCATTAATAAACACACCACCTGTTTTAACGATAGTCAACTTAACTATCAGATTGGCAAAAATATTTACAAATCCCAGAACTCACCATTGGCACAAGTGTAAGGAAAATAGCCTCTTGGTGAAGGCTTTCTGGAAGGTAGACTGTGTGTGTGTGTGTGTGTGTGTACACACACATATATAATTATATAGAGTTTATGATTACATCTGTTAATATTTAATGTATGTATCCATTTGATCCAACAATGCCACTGTTAGGAATTTCTCCTCTGGAAATATCCAAACAAATGTCAAGGCCTGACGCTCACGGCAGCACTGTTAATCCAGTAGTAGATGGGACCCAGCCTACATGTCCCTCAGTTGGGGTGAATTAAACATATTGTAGTTCATCCATTCAATGAACTCTCGTGTGGTCATTAAAAACGTCTGTGTCGGCCAGGCGTGGTAGCTCAA